ACGTGCCGCTACATTGAGGTGCGCGCTGGCCAAACCACCGCCATGGTAACTGGTGTCCGCGCCGACCGCGTCGTCCTCAAACAGGGGACGGCCCTGCTGGCGCACCCAGCACATGCATGACCGACATGGCTTCAAGGTATTACCATTCAACATCCTACGGTGCAAACTAATCTGCGCGTAGAAGAGCCCGTCGTCGCGTCCCCGCGCCAACAGCTGGCGCCCATGACGGCGTGCTTCGGTCGGAAGACATCCTCCCACTCATCGCGAGCTACTCCAAGGGCGTCGGTCGGAAGACATCCTCCGTCGGGCCTGCCGCGGCTGCTCCGTAGCGCCCCGTGCGACGGTTTCCACGCCCACGGGCGGGGGCCATGTCCAGCAGCAAGGGCTCGAGACCAAGCCGGCTGCCTCAGACGCTGTGCTCCATAGCGTGCAAGCGGCGCAGAAGGCGGCATTCGACCAATTGCTGCACTTGCATGCGGCGCTCGACGCCAGATCGACGCCAAGATTGATGGGCTTGCGGCCGCGCAAGAAGAAACGATGGCCGTGCACGCGCCGACGCTGCTCAGGGCGTCGACGAGATCAAAGCCAGCACCCAACGCCCGGAGACGTTGACGCTCAAGAGCGCTGAGGACATCAAAGACCTCGCGGACACGATCCTGCCTCCGGGCATTTTAACCACGGCTCGACTGAATCAAGCAGTCGACGCCGTGGGCTTACTGCAGCAAGACGGACAACAAACGACTTGATACATTCCACACATGCGCCGTGGTTTCAGAAGTGTTTATATCATAATGGAATTGTGTTTGCTTGTCCATCAACTTGTCCTTTATCTCTTAGTAGTCGAAAAGAGTCGAAGCGCAGTGCCGGTCAACGAGCCGATGCGATCGCAACCAGTACGGCGCACCACGTTCCGTGCGAATCTGTGGGTTGGTTCAAACTACTGGTAAGCGATGATTCGCCAGGTTCCCTTGGCACCCAACGACGCCTCGATAGCGGCTCCTATTATTTGCAATTGGTGGCGTGTCCGAAAGCATGAGCCAGAAATTCGATGGCGCCGCGGCTGCCCGTTCCCAAGATCGTTGCGACCGGCGAGAGCTTGGTAGCTATTCGTACGCGACTTGACTCGTCCGTCGCGACAACAGCCTGTCCGACGGCAAGAAAATTAGTGTTCTATGGAGGGTTAGGGTCCGTGACATCGAGAGGGACATTGCACCTGCAATCTCGACGCGCGTCACATGTTCGAACACGAGGTCTCGGAGTCGCGGAGGGCGTCAGTTTGAAAGGCTTGCATGTCTCTCACCTACCCACGACGTTATCTGTTCCAACAACGTTGCGGCTGCCAGCACGATACGCCGCCTTGTGTGTTCTACATGCTCCAGGCCAAAACAATCCAATTACGCACTTTCCGCCCATCGTCGTACTACATTATTGCATTACGACGCGTTCCATGACGTTTACATGGCTGGAAAGTCCTTGAAAAACTCGATCGAGATGCGCTCGAGGTGCACGACGACTTCGGCCATGCCCGCGATAAAGCCCGTCTCGTGGTACGGAATGTCGTACTGCTTGCAGAGCGACTTGACGAGCACGTTGAGCGCCGGGAGGTTGTGCCGGGGCACCATCGGGAACAAGTGGTGGTCGATTTGGTAGTTGAGGCCGCCCATGAACCAGTCGATCCAGACCGACGACGTCACGTTGCGCGTCGAGAGCACTTGGAGCTTCCAAAAGTCGGGCTTGCTGTCCTTATCAAACACCTCCATGCCGTTGTGGCCGACGCTAAAGACCATCGCGAGGAAGAGGCCGCACGACGCCTGGCTCACAAAGAGGAACGACAGCGCTTGCAGCAGCGACATGTTGGCGGCGTACACAAGGCCGAGGTTCCAGCCATAGTAGAGCAGGAGGCCGGCGCGCTCGAGCAGAGGGTACTGGACCTTGTCAAAGGTGCCGCCAGGCCCAATGTTGTAGAAGGCGTACATGGCCGACTGGATCACCCACGAGATGCGCGCAAAGAGCAGAATGGGAAAGTACAAGTACGCTTGGTAGCGCATGAAGAAGAGACCGACGGGCGAGTCGACGGCGTGCTGCGCCATCTTGAGCGACCACGCGAGGATCGGCATCGTGTCAATGTCCGGGTCGCCGTGGAAGGCGATCTCGGGCGTCGCATGGAGGTTGGGGATCGCGTGGTGGGTGTTGTGCTTGT